AAAAAAAAAAAAAAAAAAAAAAAAAAAAAAAAAAAAAAAAAAAAAAAAAAAAAACCACGCGCACACACACACAAAGAAATTGAACAAGTCCAAGAAATGGAATGAATGCATGAAGGAAAGAAAGGCAAAGAAAAAGACAAAGGCATCGTTGTTTTTGAGCATTGAAGAACTCGGCGCGGTTCATCTCTTCAATCCTCCTCCTGCTTTAGTCCTCTTTCTCTCTCTCTTAATTCTTTTTCTTTTCTTTTCCCTTCTCTCCCTTCCCTTCCCTTCCCTTTCGAATTAAAACGTGAAAAACAGAATTAAATCCATTTTCTTTTCCCCAACCAAAAAAAAAAAAAACAACTCTTGTTCATGCTCCGAAGCCAAGGCAAGGGCGTTGTTTCATTTCATTTCATTTCATCGATTCCAGATCAAGCCCCTTGAATCTCTCCAAATCCCTCAAAACCCACGTCTATTCCCCTCTAATTTCTCCAACCCATTTCCAAATCTTCAATCCAATCCATCAGATATCCCTTTCCCATCTTCAAATGCTCCATTTTTTCTGATCTTTGACTCCTCTTTTCACCCGCCTTTCTTCTCTTTCTTCTCCTCTCATGCTCTTCCTTCTGCCTCTAATGGGGATGGGTCTCTGAAAAAATGCACGTAAATTTCTCTTATCAACAAATGCTGAAGGCATGCAGAGTTGCGCTACGTGGTTGAGGTTTCAGATTCTTGGGGCATGGCGAATCAGGTGGTCAAAGTCAAGAGGGAAGCGATTGCGGCATGCATCACTTGCCCGCTTTGTAATAAGCTTCTGAAAGAAGCCACCACCATCTCTGAATGTCTTCATACCTGTGAGTCGCTTTTCTTCTTCCTCCTCTTCTTTTTGCCCCTCTCTTACCTTCTTTTCTCTCTCTCTTTTTTCTTTTTTTACTAGTCTCCATCCAATTTTGTTCTTTGAAGCTATTTATGGTAGTTTCCATCTTTGATTTTGAAATTCTTTTTTCGTTTGTTTAGATTAATTGCTGTTGACCCTTTTGTTACTCATTGACTAATGTTCTTCATAAATGAAAGTTGATTTCTAGTGGATAATCAGCTTTCTTCTTCATTTGGTTTGGTACTGTTTCATTTTTTAGTTCATATTCTTTATGGCTTCATTATTTCAACGTTACAAATTCGAAACAAGTTAAGTGATTGCTTCTTAATAAAACTACATATTTTGATTCTTCTCTATGTCCGTGTGTGTCACATTTTATCTCTCTGCTGTTCTATAAAGCAGAACTCACTAAATTAATCATCTTTTTTGGAAGTAATCACAAGTTTTTAGGGGAAGGACTATTTTTTTCTTTGCCAATTAAGACGGGTGATATGTGCCATATATCTACTTTTTCCTGCTTAAAATTATACGAATGAAAGGAAATGAGTTAACATGTTGTTGCATTTGATCACTGTACAAGTAGTTTTTATGACAGCTCGGTGTCAAAACTTTTTCAGTTTGCAGAAAGTGCATACATGATAAGATTTCTGATGATGAACTAGAAAGCTGTCCAGTATGTAACATCGACCTTGGGTGTGCCCCATTGGAGAAATTAAGGTAAGATTTGTAATTTCGTAATGCCACTGCCTGTCACCTACTCCTTTCCCAGTCTTTATTTGCGCTAATACAATCAATCTTTGAGTCTGCATTTTTGTAGTTGTTTCTAGTGATTCGACATAGATATGAAGTTCTATTTTCCTAGATTTGCAGATGTCAACAAAACCTTTTTAGTTGTTTTCGTGCCTTTTCCATGGGATTATCTGAAGAAAATATATGATTCTTTTGATATAAACATGATATTCATTCCATGACATAATTAGTTTTACCAGTCGGTACATCAATGCACGATTTTTAATTAATCAAACAAGCATTTTAGCACAGCCATACCCCATTTTTCTGCTTGTTATTAGTTTACAATTTGGATGTCATGGAATTGGCTGAATGAGATCAAAAGCTACCATTTATTCACAGTTCTTCACAAAATGTAGATTATGACATTCTTTATTTCTTCATTTTCAAAATTTCATAATATAGAGTTTTTAGTAAGAATTCGTAAGTAGTCGAGAGAATTTAAACTTGAGCTTCTAATCATCAGGCCAGACCACAATCTAGAAGATTTAAGGGCTAAGATTTTCCCTAGTAGAAGGAGAAAAGCCAAAACGCCTGAAGTTGCTCCTGTTATACTACCACCAGTTAGAAGAAAGGAAAGATCACTTTCCTCATTGGTGGTCAATAGTCCCAGAGTCTCAAGTCATGCAACCACAAGTGGAAGAAGAGCAGCAGCTGCTGCTAGAATTGCTGCTGTCTTACGAACACCAAGAGTCTCCTCTGAGAAGCGTGTGAAGAAAGAGGATGATTCCATGGAAGACTGTTCAGAGAGCTCGAGTTCCCTTGAGACATCAGAAAAATTCAATCAGAACAAAAGACCGGTAAAGGAAGAAATTTCTGGTCCCAATTCAAGGTTGTTTTTTTCCCATCAGGACCTTCTGTTTAATAGTAACATTTTGTCTTAATATTGGACTTAGTGCAGGATTCCAGTCCTTCCAAGTCTACCATATCTTTGCGAAATAAAGAAGTCGAAAATGGCGTTGATTCAATGGAAGGAAACATGGATATCTGGAAACCTTTAAATTACTTGGTAGAAGTTGCAAATAGGAGTAAATGTTTCAAATCTAATTCAGAGAATAAAGTCGAGCTTGCAGAAGTCGATGGGAGTGAAGCTCAGGCCAGTAAGTCTAGAAATAGGGAAAGCAAACGCAAGCAAAAACGTGAGAACGGAAAAACTAGAACAGACCCAGTATCTCCAGAAACTGAAAAACCTAAGAAACTGCGTAGGGTTCGCCAGAAAAAGGAACCTTTTTATGGGAACTCCAGCATTACACCCCAGGTTGTGTTGGATGCCACTAGTGCTCGGCTTGAAAGAAGAGCTGGTCCAATTTGGCTTTCACTCATAGCTTCTGATCAGTGAGACAAACTCTGTTCCCTACAAAATGCTTGAAAACTAAACAAATTTCAACGAACATTTATGCCTTTACTTAACTAAACTTTGGTTTCAGGGAAGGAGATGTAACGTTGCCGCAAATTCCTGCTAGTTATTTGAGAATAAAGTAAGTTCCTTTTAGCTTCATTGGATATAGACAAGCTCTACTCATCCTTATTGTAGTTGTCAGGTAACCTAATCGTATTATATAGGGTGTACAAGAGTAACTTTCATCCCCGTTTTCAAATTTTCCAGAATAGAATTTTTTTCAGTGTTTCAAAAAATTATCTGAAATTTTGAGCTGTCTAAACTATTTGTCAAGTTTCCTCATGAATCTTGTGCAGGATTATTATGAGAGAATAGTTTTTCCTGTATCTTAGACCAGGAAGGAGCCTCAAATGATAATTTTTTTGGGGCTTCAAATTCATGACATTTTGACCAAGGATATATGTTTAACTGATTGAACTATGATTAGGTTGGTACCCCCATCGAACTTTGGTTGTCATTTGACTAACCAACTTTATATTAGCTTGCACGTAAATTTATACTAATGGTTGCGAGTAAATTGATACTCAAATGAAGCTAACTTCTACTGACATGTTTGCTCGTCTGTGTGTGTGTGGAAGAAAACTTTTACTGAGTTGGAGTTGAAATTATATCATAATCTTTGTCGCAGGGATGGGAACTTGCCAGTATCATTTGTCCAGAAGTACCTTATGAGAAAGCTGGATCTCTCCAGCGAATCAGAGGTGGAAAAGCTCATATCCTCTAATTTAGTTGAGCTTGTTGTTTCATTTTTATAAAATGGGTTAAGCTTGATGCATAATTATTGTGCAGGTTGAGGTGAAGTGCATGGGACATCCAGTAGTGCCCACACTGGATTTGCATAGTTTAGTTGATTTGTGGCTTCAAACAGCAGCAACCTCCGAAAAGATCTCAGCATCAATTGGGTCGTCAGCTGAGGATTTCATTATGGTTCTTTACTATGCTAGAAAGATCACAGTTTCTTGATCTTCACTTTCCTTCACATTGCTGCCTTCAATCTGCATGTAAGGGTCTTCACACCGTTCGCTCTCTTCCCGGCAAAAGTTGCTGAAAGGGCCCTGAAATGCTTATTATTTAATCACAGTTGAGTATCAATTACTGCATCAATCCTAGTTCCTCAAAAGTTTGTTAGACTTAAACATTTTAGGGTAAGCAACACAGGTACGTATGGGAGTGGCATAAACACAATGGAAATTCCTTTTACACCACATCATCAAATAAAGGCAACAACAACTAATTTATTTAACCAAGTGGTGTTGGGTGTAATGAAATATTTGACCATTAGTAACTCCCTCAGCAGTTGCTTTTACTTTGGTAGAAGAGATGTACTTGAATTGTGTAGCCAATACCAAATTTGCATCATTCTAATAGAGCTCTCTCTCTCTCTCTCTTTCAACTGATGTAATTTCTTCTTAAGAGAACTCGTAGGATACAGATTCCAAAATTGGAAAGATATGGAGAAGTATAGAATATAAGACAGAGCCTATAGAAGATCTTTGTGCAAAAGTGGTTCCCATTTCTCAGGTTCCATGTGTTCTTAAAGTCTGCATGTTACCAGATATGCCTGAAATGAGGTGAGTGCGAGAAGGGGTTGTGTGTGTCCAAATTTGTGCAGTGATTTGGCAAACACGTTGGGTGTTTGAAGGAAACATGAGAATCAAAAAGTGGGTAGCCTGTCAGTTTTGATCTGATGCTTCCATTTTAGATACAACTAAAACTCCTCTTCCCTTTTTCAGCAAAACCCCTCCGTGTCGTGCTCTTTAATCTTAACCCTTTCATGTACTATTACTCCAAACCTTTTCTTTTTTCCCCACCCCCCTCCTAATAGATCTACTCGAGTATGGGATTCTTTTATTTAAACACTTGAGTTTCGTGTGTGTGTTGTTTGAAGGACAGCAAAAATAAAACATATATACTGCGCAATTTTGGTACTCCAATTCTCTTTTACATTATATAAAAGAGAAGGGATTAGAATTTATTCCTTCTAGTCAAAGTATGTTGAGAGAGATCCCAGAAGAAAAGGCTACCAATGCATTAAAATTAAAAAAGAATTGAGGAATGAAACAACCATAGAGAGATGAAACAGATGAGGGGAATACCAATTACTCTTCCTATTTACTTGAAAAAGGTATTCTTCCTATTTTGTGCATCACTTTTTCCATACTCAACGACAAGGTAAACAAGTGCTTGGAATCCAACCAGTTGCCGACTTTTAAAGCCTTTCAAACCCACACTCCCAGATCCCATCCCCCACTTTTTTTCTCTACCTTCAAAAACAACTTACTCACCAAAGAAAGAAAGAAAAAATCAAAATTCAAGTGTTAGCCTACTCGTTTCCAATTTAGGAGAAAGTAATTATAACATCGTTTCCAAGTAAACTTCAGAGCCGAAGTTGACGAGCTGCTCAAGGAACAGATCAGAGAAGGTAAAGGAAAACAAAACTATCGCTATCACTCACACCTACAAACAGCTCATGAATACAATTTCAAAGATCTGGAAAGTCAAAAACAGCTTCTATGACCAACCAAGTCACAGCTCAGAATGAATTTGTATCAAAAAATAGATTAGATTAGCAGCTGTTGAATTCAACTCAAATCACACCTGCTCAAGTACCCACATCAATCAACTTCCATTCCCAACCAGATAAACCATTGGAAGCAGCATGGACATGGGAATGTGATGAAAATTCATAGACCTGAACTAAAAATCCTAGTTGCTAAGCTTCATTATTGTTCCACAAAGCATGCACAGTTCACCCGCTTCAATGCAAGCTGCCTATGTGGCAAGAATCAAGACCCAGAACTAAGACAATCACCATGTGAAAACCAGTTATTAGTTTAAGCATCTTCACTTGGGATCCATGATAAAACCATAGTCACCGTACAACTAAATAATCATCACTTTTAACTTTTTGTCACATGGGAATCTGAAAGATGGCATAAAGTCGGATCAGTTGGAAAGTGAACCAGAAGTTCTACCTAGAAAGGAAAAAGAAAAAAAAAAAAAAAAAA